AAATGGTAAAAACATAGAAATATTTTAATGTAAATATACATACAAGTTAAATTGTATAATAATACTTTTACATAAGAACTAGCTGGGCCCCCATTTCCATGAAAGGAATGATCGGTGCATTAACATCAACTGAAAGTCATTGGCCTATTTTATTTACACTCTACTGGAATGGAGCAATACATCTTGAGAGATGAAAAAAATTAGAAGGTCTAGATCTATACTCTCAAAACAAAATAAATGCGCCTCGCGAAATATCACTTCCTCACCGAATTTTTTTTTAAATTACAAAGACAGAAGCGTCGGCCTATAAAAGCGATCTGCGATATAGAGAAATTTAGCTTTTTGAGGCAAAACTGTCTCAAAACTGAAAAAACGAAGGGCGTCATGATCTGGAGAATATTTTAAAGAATCTTTTGTCGAAACCGCATGTCGATCGATGCAGCCGTTAAAAAGCCTTTTGAATAGCAAAATTTGGCCACCACAAATAGATAATAGATAATAATACTTTTATATAAGAATGTCAATATGAAGAGGCTAATAAGCTGACAGTACAAGATATATGTAGGAGTTTACAACGTCAATATTCTCATTCATAATGAATAGTGGGTTTAGTTGATCTGATGTAATATAAGTAGGTTTTTTGTCGTTTTTTTCAGGGGGGGTGTTGTTTTGTTTTTGTTTGTTGTTTTGTTTGTTTTTTGTTTTTGCTTTTGTTTGTTATTTTTATTTGTTAGTTGTTTTGTCGGTGTTTTTTTGTTGGTTTTTTTATTGGTTTTTATTTTATTTTATTTTTTTGGTTTTTGTTTTTGTTTTTGTTTTTGTTTTTGTTTTGTTTGTTTGTTTGTTTGTTTGTTTGTTTATTTGGTTGGGGGGGGTTGGGGGGGGGTGTTTATTTGTTTTTTTTTTGTTTTTTTTTTTTTTTTTGGGGGGGGGGGGGGTATTAATTAATGAAAGGAAGTGGTTATCACTGAAAAAAATGTTTCATTTTCATTCATTGTTATTTATAATATTGCCGTTGAGAGTAGATTTCATCTTAAAATTTTTAGCGTTTTTGCTATTGAAAGCATATTCGTTGTTGTAAAGAGTAAACACGACTGGGGAAATAACACAGCCTTGAGGCATTTAGCTCTACAACCACATTGGAGGGGATTTGTTATTAACTCAGAAATTCCAAGCTTTAATGTATTTGTTTATATTATTATATAAAAAGGATTTCTTTATTGTATTTTACAGGTGGTCGTTGAGCTGCAAAATAAAAATAATATGGGAAATGGTGAGATATAAAATAAAAAATGATATGGGCATAACAATTATCCGGGAAATGGTGAAATATAAAATAAAGATAAAAGGAGAAATTTTGAGATATAAAATGAAGATAGATATGGCAAATGGTGAGATATAAAAACATTAATATTGGAAATGGTGAGATATAAAAGAAAAAAATAATATGGGAAATGGTGAGATATAAAATAAAGATAGATGTCGGAAATGGTGAGATACCAAAAAAAATATTTGAAATGGTGAGATATAACATAAAAGTAACATGGAAAATGATGAGATAAGGGTGTTTGCATGTGTGAATGCATGTGCGTGTGTGTGTGTATGTGTGTATGTGTGTGTGTGTATGTGTGTGTGTGTGTGTGTGTGTGTGTG